GGGCATCACCAAAGTCTGTTTTTCCATGTAGGCTCTACATATGTTGCCCCAGCTGCAGTCCTGCAGACTGTCAGCACTTAGGTGAAGTAGCTCACGTCTCCTCTCTGCAAAGGGACTGTCTCTCTGCCCAGAAGCCAACCGTACCTCTCAGCAGCTGCATTAGCTAGCCCCAGGTTTAAATAAATAAATAATAATTAATTAATAAATAATAAATAAATAAAATTTTAAAACACTGCCCAGAGAAGTAGGAAGAGATTAAACCTAGAAGCTGGATATCAACCCAGTGTAGACATAACCTGCATTTCAGAAAGGAGCTGGATGTCATTTTCATCAGTGAAGAGCAACAGAGCTGGCAGAGGCGAGCGCCCTTCCTTTATACTACATTCTCTGGTCCTCCACAAGAATTTACTGTTTTTCAACCCGTATTGGAAAGAACACACACTTGCACACCTGAAATCTGCACAACTCTTTGGTCAACAGATATTTATCCAGGGACTATAGAAACCAGCGTGCTCTGTTTTTCAAGCACTAGCACCACCGCTCCCAGTCATGAACAGAGGCAGAGAAAGCAGAAGTGGCAGAAGTTTACTGTTCTTGAAAAGCCTGAGGACACAATCCTGTCAACAGTCAACCCAGATGAGAAGAAAGGAAGAATAGTAAGAGAGGGTGCGGATGCATAAAATCCTAAACCAGTGAGATGGATTTTCTCGGCCAGTTAAGAATTCAGAGTTACAAACAGGGCAGCTCTTCCCAAAACCCAGGAGCCCCTGGGCCCTAAGGAAATCCAAGTGCATCAGTGGTAATTGTAATAAATCTGTCGTGCAGAGCTGGCCCGACAGACGCAAGTTTGCTCCGTGATTAAGAGATCTCTGTAATACCTTAAGGTCCCCAGTGGGCCAGAGCAGTGAGAGACAGCTAACGTGCATCAAACACATAAGAATATCTCAATCATTACCACAGCTGACGGTGGCTCCGAAGCCAATCGATAGGGCAATTAGATTTTATCAGTACACGCCCCTCGGCCACCTACTTCTGCTGTCGCTGCAAAAGCCTCGGTTACCCCTGCCAGTTCCGGGTCTCCAGATGACTGAGAAGCCGTGGCTGGAGCAGATTTTTTTCTTTTTTGGAGATTTTTTTTCTGTTGGTATTCTTTATTTCCTTTAAAGGTCCGGTATCAGGGGACACTCCAAGCATGAGTTAAGCTGTCAGCTATTCTTATCTAGGCGTCTTGCTTCGGTACTCACACTAGCAGGGGGGAACACCACCCATCCCCGAATCTCCCGTACGCTGAATCTCTAGAAGTAGGCTATAATCCCCATCTATTCCATACTGTCACAGTGGAACAACAACATACAGGTCTGGCAGAGAAGTTAGGGAGGATAAGACAGCAAACTGAGCTCTGTTGTTCTGTCCTCATCTGCTTTATTTGGTTGACTCGCGCACCTCTACAACGTACCCGAAAACTGGTGGAAGGCATTATGCATCTTGCCCAATGCTTCTGATGAAACTTCACTTGGTGGCAACACAACTACCTCCCTTTCCTCTTTATCACTGTAGACTAGCAATAACAGTCTCTCCTTTTTTTATAAGTGTATTTTCAAAGTGCTGCAGCTCTCAGATTTGCTAGCCCAGATTTCTGCAGACACTGAACTTGCCAACACGCCACAATCGCTACACTGGTCTTAATCACACCTAAGCGAGGCAACAGATAGCATAGACATTTGTTTTTTGATGACTCCAGACTCTTCCTAGCTCTTTGTGCCTCACAAGGTCCAAAATACAGCAACTTCTTTCGTCCCAGCTATCCCAAGCCCTACGACTGCATCTCCTCTAGGCTTATTGTTCCAAGCGGCTAGCACCCACCACTCCGGGTTATTATACTCACCGAGGCGGGTTATTAAATCCTTTTCTAGCCAGGGCCAAACCCTATCCAAGTCTTTCAGGACCCAGTTATTTTCTGAGTCTTTCAACTTCTGCTGTCCCAAACTAAGCTCTTCAGTCTCTCTGTTCCCAAATATAACCATCACCACTGACAGCGACCTGTTTTCACTTAACAATTATCCATAAGCCTTCCAAGGATATTAATATCAGTGCTGGTCTTCCAACCAAAAGCCTTATATGTTCCAGCAACACATCAGTCTTTTCAGCTCCTTTTTACCTGAACATCAGCCCAGCTCTACTTTGAACCCCGACTCCAGTCTCACCTATCTCCCAGAACTTAGAAAAGCCCCAGAACAAACTATACACTGTTATTTTCCATTAGTTTCATCCCCTTTCTGCATTTCAAAGACCATTAAGGATCCAGTAATACTTCTAATTTTCCAGTCCACGCTGTTTGAAACTATAGCACTGCCTCTAACCCCGATTTAACTACAAATCAAGGAACTCCCTCACAGAATTAATCATAAACCAACCAACCCCGCCAACTTCAACCCTATTCTTAACCCCACGGGCCCTGCAATAAGCAAATTTCTTCCATTCGTGCTATCCCCGTTCTCAATCCTCTATTTAGCCTCAGCCATAGCCAAGAAGTCACATACACTTCTGAGTCCTGTTTTAGCAGTATGCACTCACCCCTCATCCTGCACACGTAGAATTTGCAGAGCAGCCTCCGCAGCATTCAGACGCTACTGGCCGGGACTGTATGCCTAACTTCAAACCATAAACCAGCAACAGAAAGCATTGGTAGCAGCAGATTCCAACATACTTTCAGAGCAACGTAGCTTATAGTCACGACTGATGCGGGAGTTTTTAAACACATCGGCATTAACATCATTTATTCAGCACTGTCCATCTCCAAATGCCTTTTTGAGGGCGAGATTCTCATAACCCAAATACACAGCATTGTTCTCAAAGGCATACAATGCAAACAGCAGACGACTGGGGGCACATTTCTTTATCCCTTATTGTTGTAACAGAGTGGTTTCAACAACAGCCAGCCTTTTAGACTAACCCAACACTAACTCTCTTCAAATGAACGCAGCAATTAGTTATACCATTCTCCCCTTCCACACCTGCCAGGAAAAACAAACAGAACCGAGACATAAACCCAATACTCAGCATCAGCCGCAAATCCCAGCACATTTGGTTTCTGTTCCCTTGACTTCCATGTCCGGGAGGTGGTGACATAGGTACCAGCTCAGCACATGCTCTCAAGTCAGAGCTGGCAGGTTCCGCATAGACTTTGGCAAATGAGCCTTCCCGTAATCAAACGGGCACGCAGAGGGAGCCGGCTCCAGACAGCGGGGAAAAATCAGAGTTAAATTGTCCCTGTGGAGATGTGATGACGCTCCCTCTCCCTTTAGACACCTAATCTCCCCACTATCCCTCCCACCTACTCTTTTGCTGGTCAACTCTTCTTAGAAACACCAAATCTATCACGTCCTGAAAAGCTCTGTCGCTTGTTGGCCTCTTGTATGAACGAGCCCTCTTCTTTTTCACTGCTCAGACTTTCGTTGAATTCAGAGCCAAGCCCTGCTGTCCTTACTGCTACAACATGCGCGCACTGCCTGCGTTTTATATTTCTTACTGTTTTTATGGTTAAGAAGCTAACCAGAGAACCTCAAACATAAATTCTAACAAATAAGAATGAGGACTTCTACATCTGATGTTTTCTACTGCTTAACACTGATGGGAATGAATAGTGCCCTCCGCATTTCTGGAATGCAAATCTCAAAGAATTTCAGCAACGGTGATCAAGCCCAGCAGTTTCTCTGTAAAGCAAACAATATTAAAAATAATTTTAACATACGGGGGCAACTGAGACATGTAGACTCAAGCAAGGTCATACAGAAAACCGAGTATCTCTGGTCAGTTTGGCTCTCAGAGCTGTGTGGCAAAAGGGGCTGTGGAGATTGGTTAACGAAGAGAATATGGAGATTCAGCTGTGAGAGCAAAGACTGGGACCTGCCCATAGCCGCTTTAGAGACAAATCCCCCAGTTCAGCACAACACATACGGGACTGAACACTTCACTGCAGAAGTAGTCACACTGGCACGAATTTCACTGCAGGCAGGAGGAACCTTTCTGGAAAGGAGTCAAGCCTCCTGCAAAAGGCGAACCGGGTACCTGCCACGTTACTCAATGTCCTCCAAAGACATTCCCAAAGTGTATTAAATGTGGCGTTCCCTTCAGATCCAGGGTGAAGTTACACGCTCGACAGAATGACTTACAAGAAAATATGAATAAAACCAAACACACAGATTTTCAGGAAAGGCCCACAGAAACACACACGGAGAGATTCAGTTCTGATTTGGAAGGAGAGGGATCACTCAATATAAAAACTACCACAACTCCCAGTTTTTCCTCAGCTTTTATTTATAACCAAAAGCAAACGGTAGATTCTGCAAACAAGCAGCAGATCTCTAGTTTATTAGCAGTGCCTCACTTGTTGACTGATGCGTATCTCCCACTGACACATCCTTGCCCACAGCTCCCTTGCTGACAGCCGGAGAGGCACAGTGCAGGAGCCAAGAGGAGCATTTCTGGTTCTACCATGATAAACTGAACCCAAAACTTCCCCAAAAAGCCAGGTAGCACTACAAACCCAACCAAACATGCTCATAAAGGAGTTGGCAGGCATAGAGACAGCACGGGGAACCTCTGATTAATGAAATTACAAATCAAACCATGCTCTCTGCAAGGCCTTTCTGCTTCACTTGACACTAGCCCTGGGGACATTTCACTTCTTTGCTGGCGCAAGCTCCTTTGCCAGTAGTTTAACACAGACCACTAGATTTGAGAATAACACAGGGCTGAGATCTCAAAAGGACTTTAACATCACCATGAAATCCTTTCCATGTTAATCTTCAGCCAGAATATTAAAAGCCTGCATATAGCTTACTCCGAGAATGGACACAAACAGCCACGGGGGGAAAAAAAAAAAAAAAAAAAAAAAACAACAAAAAACAGCTGCTGAAAAAATGAATAAATGAGGGAGTGAAAAAGAGAGAAGGGAAGTCAACAAACCCAAACCAGCAGGACCCACTCCAGCTGCTTACCTGCTGCTCCTAAGCCAACGTCGATGCTGTTTCTCTTGAATTCACAGCGGCTCTGGGTCTCTGGCATAACGAGCTGACGGCTCTGATGCAGGTTGGAGATGATAGTGGAAAGGTCGTTATCACGGCTGCAACAGAGCAGAAAAGCACCAAGTTAAGGAAATCCTATTTGCCACCACATAATTGATTTTTGTGTGTATGAGCGTATGTGTGCACGCACGCAAGATTCTTTTGTTTGCCCCTGACATAGCTGTATTTCAAGAAAGGTTCTCCCCCTCCTACCCATCAGGTTCCTAGGTAACCTCCTCTAGTTTTGGGGAGCGGAGACGAAGTGCAAAGCACTTCCCAAACAGCACTCTCATTTCCCATAAAGGGCTCTGCTGCTGCCAGAGCTCCTGATTTCAGTTGTGCCAGATATAACTTGCGTGGGCCAGAACTTACATCTCAGATGGAAAAACTGAAAGTGTAGGAATTGGCAGATCTATTCCAGAATTAATAGGAAACTTGAACTGAAATAACTGATAGTTTTCTATCAGTTGCCATCCTTCTCTTCTTAACAAAAATAAGTTTTTCCATTCCATCACTGTTGGAACGCAAGACTACTTTATTTACTTGAATAATAGTTGGGTTTTTTTAGGGAGAAACTCACCATGAACCCCGACATCAGCATTACTCCGAGCTGAGGGTCCAGATTTATTTACAAAACTAATTTTCAACCCTTCACTCTAACAGATTCTGAAACAATGCTCTCTTCCTTCTGGGACAAGAGAATGCTTTAGAGCAGTTCAGCATTATTTTGCCAGCTATCCTTGCATCAGATCGCTGCTAAGTAGGCTAGTTTAGTCTTTTTCTTATTTTTTTTTCCCCGTTCTATGGAGAGGGAGAACACAAACGCAAAAAGACATTCACTGTAGCAGATACTGCAGTTCAGATGGCAAATGCTTTTGCTTACAAACCGCTATCCACTTGCAAAATATTTCTGAATAAGTGATACACAAACACTGAAGAGGAAGAACAAGCTAAAACGTATCCATGATACTAAATGGAAATGCTGGAATGTCTCCCTTTTGTTTGTTTGCAGTATATGTTAAATCACCCATCCTTCTAGCACAAGGTGCTTGCCCCAAGCTAAACACGGCTATTTTTCTTCCTCTCCTCTTTCTAAATGGAAGATGACAGCCAGAAGAATCAGAGACACTTACAAAAAATTATACATATTAGAAATACTGCCCTCCCTCCCACATCCACAGCTCCCTCCCAACCTCTACTCACACGGCAAGTGCACCCGCTCTGTGCTGCTGTGACACACAGCACATGACCACCAACTCACTGGTACAGAGGAGTGTCCTCACCTGGGACCAGCAGGACAACACGGAGGGTGCATTATCTGCAGAATTACCTAGCAATGATCTTCCTTTAAATATCCCCCCTCTTATCCCCCCCTCACCTCCTCCCCACCTGCTGTACCCCCACCTCCAGGCTATCGGCACTGGCGAGAGGAGCGGATCTGCTCAACTGCTCCCGGGCGCCCATCCCTAGTGCAGAAGCAGGGGCTAATCTGTCGTCTAGCTCTCTGCTAATCAGATAAGTTTATGACAGAAAGTCTTTAGACAGAGGTACTTTCAGCGGGCGTCTGGCTCCAGATTTTCACAAGATGTAGCAGACAAAAACAGACTCTCATTTCAGCAGCCGCTGTCATGTTCCCTGCTGCTCCCCCCGCGCGCTGCCCCCACCCCCGGTCTCAGCAACGAGATAGGACGCGCGGATCCCAAAGCCTTTGAGCACCCGTTGCATCTTCCTCCGCTAAACCAGTTCAGATTCCTCCTTATGCAAGCAGAAGGCTAATTACTTAAGCAAGCCCACAGGTGAGTGGGAAGCCCATTTCTCCTGTGCCAAGCAGTTTTGGGTCTTATCCTCTTTTAGCTGCCACTTTTAAGATGCATTATGCAAATATTTTGGTGTCTTAAGTCATTTATGGGATTAATGTGAAGTGATTATCAGTTCTTTTTAATCATGCCAATCAATAACTGGATGTCAGGGACAGAGGACAAATGCAGATAAACGCTGCCATCAGCACAATGCTCAGGAAAGGGCGGAGGAGATGAGCCAGAAGTGCAGAGGGAGAAAGGCTGGGAGTAGGAAGAGAAAAATGGGATAATTACATCTTTGCGTTTGCAGAGTGTCTTGCATCCCAATTGAGCCCAAAGCACCTCTAATATGTAAACACGGTAAGAGAGCTGCGAGAAGGAATTGTTTTATCTACCACTTAAACGCAACTACCTCTCTTTCTGGAAAAGAGCACAGCAACGCCTTAACATGACTTGATTCTCCGAAACGCAAAGAGTACAGAACACTGTTATCTCCACTGTAAACTAAAACCAGGAGATCTACATGGAAAGAAACATTACCACAGCAGAAATTACATTTTTCTTCCCCCACAACCTTAGGTTTTTAGGAGATTTCGCATGGCCTTAAAATTAAAATCATCATGGTATGAGAAGGTGCGTTGGCAAGCCGTAACTCCACACACGAGCAGGCACCACAGCGCTGATCGGTACGCTCTACGGGCTTTGAGTTCAACTCACTCTACCCACACAATTAGGCAGGATCCCAGGAAAACATGACTTTGCTGGAATACCTTTGCAGAAGGCAAAGCGAACACCAAGGTGACATTGAAGGGAAAGGCAAGCAAGACCGGAGAGAAGGCAAACAGGCTCAGACAGCTTTTAACACATCAGACCGTCCCCAGGAGTTGTCCCTTTTGCCTTAGCGCACAGGAGGTTTGGAGCAGAGACTGCCTTTTTGTGCTGGGCTTGTTCCACGCCTGGCGCAACGGGAGGCAGCTCACTGCTGGGGCTCGGTATTAGCGTGAGAGAAGAGAGTGAATGGTAACCAGAGCTTCTTATCAAAAACTGAGATACCTTTCTGCATAGGTGAAGACTTCAAGTGGTTTTGGTTTTTTTTCGATACTGTAGGCCAAGCTGGTCCCAGCAAATACAGTTTCACAGGGCGGCAGTCAGCCTCCAGCGATCGTGTGGACTCTCTAATAAGGGACATATTTGTGTGAGGCTCTGCTTAGACCACAGAGGACTTTCTACCACTGTGTTGGATCAACAGGATGAAACACCAGCTTTGGTTCTGCAAGCTGACACCTCTGCTACCTCCGCCTCAACCGTGACTGCATGAGATAGTAGTGAACAAACACCATTTTTACAAGAGACCCTCCTGAACCTCCACAGAGCAAAGTCCAACTAACCGCTTTCATCCCAATGCCATTTAATAACACTAGTGAAAGTTTAACTTTTGAGTCTCAGTTCTTCGGGTACTCCATCAGGTACTCGATGCTTTAGCCAGGAAGAAGGGCTCTGCCCAGCTAACGGCAGTTTTCAGGAATTACCCTTCTTCTCCACACTCGCTACCTTGGACTGCAGCACTGCAACTGCCCTCCCAACCCTGACATCCCGTTGTCCGCGGCCGGGTGGCCCCGGCAGGGTGGCGAAAGACACAGCAGTACCACAGGCGTTGGGAGACCTGCTTGGTCTGTATACAAAAAGTTGCAAAACATGAGTTGTAACTCCAGCCTGGCCGAACTCCTTCACAACCAAGTCCTGCCCGGGCCCTGCCCTTACCCCCGGCCCCGAGGGGAACACCTCAGCCAAATCACAATCACTGACACCAGCCCTCATCACATCCACCTCAGCCCTGCCCGTCCACTTGCCATAAAACTCCTGGAGTCATAGAATTGTTTTGGTTGGAAGAGACCTTTAAGATCAAGTCCAACCGTTAACCTCACACCTCCAAGTTACCCCTAAACCACATCCCTCAGCACCACATCTACACATCTTTTAAACACCTCCGGGGATGGTGACTCAACCCCCTCCCTGGGCAGCCCGTTCCAGTGCTTGACAACCCTTTCAGTGAATAAATTTTTCCTAATATCCAATCTAAACCTCTTCTGGCGCAACTTGAGGCCGTTTCCTCTTGTCCTATCGCTCGCTACTTGGGAGAACAGACCGACCCCCACCTCTCTACAAACAGCCTAGCACATCTCTCCACAAAGAAGAGCTACCTGATAAAATCCCACCCGCTCCGGTTGACCCTCCTGGCAGGACGGCTGGTAGCCCGGCTCCCGGTGCACAGAGCTGAGCAGTGCAAAGCGCGACCTGAACAAGTGGCACAGCACAGAAAGGAGACCCTCTCCCTCAGCCCAGCTTAAAGGGCATTCTCGGTGCCTTCAACTCGTTCGCAACACAGGACAGTGTTTTCAAAAGTTAGCAAGTCTCTTGGGGAAAAGGCTATTTGTTCCTCTGGGGTTACGCACCCCTAACACAGTAACCCTGACACATGCAGAACAGGCAACAAATTCACGGGCTGAGGGCTCCGGCAGGCAGAGCCCATGCAGGATTAAAGATCCTTCCTTCGGAGGGAGTACAACTGGCAAAAGAATAACCTCAGGACATCAGGTCGAGATGGGGAACACATGTTTTGGGCACACCAACATACATGTAGTAATGCCTAAAACTTGACTGCTTGGTCTGCGACTAATGCAACTGGTCCCTTCTTAGGCACACGAGGAGGGAAACTGAAGCGGGTGCGAGAGCATCGCCTCTGAAGCCCTCACCAGCAAGAGCACAACTCTTGCATGACCTCAGCGGGAAGGAACCCGCATTAAGGGGATTGGGGAGGGCTGGTCCCTCCCGCGTAGAGGATTCCCCCATCTGTGTGCTGAAGCCAATAATTCCTCCCAGGTGCTCACTTGCAGCCCCAGCAGGGCAGAGGCACACTCTGCTTTTCCTTTGTCTCGTCTCTGAGCCGCTGCTGGGTGCCTGTTAATGCAGGCACCCCCCAAACATGCACTGACACATGCACACACAATCAGATTAAAGGTCTGATCCCTTCCAGTAGCATAATATTATATTTTAAAAACCGGATTAGAGAAGGGGACTTGAGCAAGATACAGATCTCCTGAAAGGTCAAGGAGGAGACAAATAGCCTTCTGTAGGGCTGCGGGTTGCCACGGCAACATTCAGTTTGCATGGGGTTTGGTAATTAATGGTTTGGGGACCCGCAAGTACTACAGGTATGTTTCCAAGCAGCAGGGGAACATGTTCTGAGGCGTGACTGTCTG